GGGCTCTGTCAAGACCTCCAGCCTCCAGAACTCCGGATATGTCCAAAGAGGAGCACAGAGATTGAGCCCAGATCTGTGCTCTGCCCCAGGAGCGTCCCTCGGCTCTTTACTCCAAGGAAAAGGCAACAGAGCCTTCCAAAGCTCTTGCTTCAGCTGTTTCTGTTACAGAGTTTTGCATTTCTGAAAACAAGTCTCTTTTTGCGACACAGAAGAATTGCAGAGATCCATAGAGGAGAACCCCTCTGCAATTCTACTGTGTCGCAAAAAGAGACTCCATAGAGGAGAACGTGGGACGTGGTGGCGCTGCGGGCTAAACCGCAGAAGCCTCTGGGCTGCAGGGTCAGAAGACCAAGCAGTCGTAAGATCGAATCCACGCGACAGAGTGAGCTCCCGTTGCTTGTCCCAGCTCCCGCCAACCTAGCAGTTCGAAAGCATGCAAATGCAAGTAGATAAATAGGAACCACCTCGGTGGGAAGGTAACAGCGTTCCGTGTCTAAGTCGCACTGGCCACGTGACCACGGAAGATTGTATTTGGACAAACACTAGCTCTATGGGTTGGAAATGGAGATGAGCACTACCCCCTAGAGTCAGACACGACTGGACTAAATGTCAAGGGGAACCTTTACCTTTACCTTTACCTATAGAGGAGAACAGCTGCAAGTTCCTCGGAGTCCACCCCTTTCTAATGAATTGGTACTTAAAAATCTCCGTAAGTCATTTTGAGTCCTTTGTATGAGAAAGAATAGAAACCATTTCTTTACTTACAGTCGCTTGAAATGACATACCTGGTTGTGCTGCTTTCTTTACTCACACCCTTAGCAACCATCCAGACAAATCAACAACAAAACAATAACGGTTACCAGCCCAGAGGGAAAGAGCAGTTCAGCAGAGATGTGGTGCTATCTTTGAATTCAAAGGCTGGAAGGAATAAAGCATTACTGCTGGATGAATGGACCATCGACCCAGCCCAGAAAAGTCTCCCCCCAGTCATATGAACCACAGACAGGAGGAAAGGTTGCAAAGAAAACACCCACCATTTCATCACCCTTGCATCGGCATTTAAGCCTCCTGAGACCCACCTAGCAGTTCTTCCTAAAGGGTATAACTTATAAAAACTGAACATGTAAATGAGCAGAAACAATTTATGCCAAGACAGGGTTATGTGTTACGGATTTTATTTACGGCAGATACATACAACGAAGGGTACAATCCATCACAGATTTCTCCTCCCACTCCTCAGAATACACGTCAACTGCGCAAGAGTCCAACGGAGCCGGGAGAAAGAGTGTCAGGCATCGGGTACCTTTAGGGTGGAGACGAGACGACAGGAGGGTGAAATGAGGGTCCTCTTCAAGTATCTGAGGGGCTTTCCCATAAAAGGTGGAGCAAACCCATTCCCTGCTGTAGAAATGAAGCCAGTAAAGGGCGGGGGTGGGGTGGGGCGGGAATCACAGGAGAAAATGTTGTGGATTTAACCAGGGAAAGAACATCCTGACCGCTAAAAGCTGTTTGACAGCAGCAGCAACAGCAGAAAAAGGCCATCCGTCAGAGATGCTTGACTTCCCACCTTGGCAGGAAGTTGGACTAGGCGGGCCTAGGGGTCCCCCTCCGCCCCTAAAATTCAACGAGCTCCTTCGTCTCAGTTTGCTGCCTTGCAGAAGAACATTGTGGTGGATCGGGCCCTTAATGGAGCTGACAAATAACCAACAGGGCCTTTGCTCCGATGAGAAAATCACGGGCGCAAGCGTTGGGGGGGGGGAATCATAAACCACATATTATGGATTGTGTTAAATTAATCAGTATTATCAATTACATTAAATACGTTTCTGCTTATATTACAGTATTCAAAGATTGGTGGTTATTATGACCATCATGAAGAGCAAACTGTTACCTAACTTAGCAAAACTTGAGGTTAACACATAATGGCATGGGGAGTGGTTACACCAGAGGAAAACTTCCCCTTATCTGTGTAGCATCTGTCACCATTCTGGTGTCCCTGTGTTTCTACCGGCACAGAAGCATCTCAAATATCTTTCTCCTCCTCAGCCGGCCTTGGAAGGGTTAGGGTTAGGGCTGACTCCTCATTTCATGAACTGAAGATGCAGGGGCTCTGGTTGAAGACAGAGCTGGCCAGCAGCACACACTGCCTACCCACACCGAAACAAGTCTCCAGATCACGAGTAGATCATCCGTACACATCCTCTGTTGACCTCAACAGCGCTCCAGGGCAGACCTCAGTCCAGTTTGGTAAAATATTCATGAAATTCTCTGAACAGTTTTTATCAATGAGGCATCAGATTTAGCAACGTTAGGAACAAAGTGCTTAAAAGTTAAGGTTGCCTTCAAATCTGTCAGCAGTGTTCCTCTACCTACCTACCTACCTACCTACCTACCTTCCTTCCTTCCTTCCTTCCTTCCTGAATGCAAAATTTCAAAATTAAAAAAAATCTGAAATCTGGATTTTTAACAGGTGGCCTCAGGCAATTGTGCTAATTTTTGTTTCAGCTTTGCTTGCGATTGCGTTTCCCTACAGCGCTTCCAGTATGTGATGGCAAGATTTATTTTAGGGAAAAGGGAAGGTTTTGATTCAGAGGGCGGTGTTGAGGCTGTGCATCGCCGGTTCTTCTGGCCACCCCAAAGGACTGCTGGTTAAGTCATCCTTGGCCTTAAAAAAAAAAATCCTTACATACATTTCTGGCAGTGCACCACCATGGACTGAAGAAAAGCAGCCCAAAAATTAGCAGCAAAGAACGAATTCAGGGGGACCATGTAGAAACATTTGGCCCCAAAATTTCTGGCTAAAGGGGTGATCAGAGGATGACAATGGATCGTGTCTGATTTCACCACAAAGAGCCACTTTTCTGGGAGCGGTCGCCCTCAAAGTGACCCTTCTGTCGGTGGAGGAATCCTTCCAGCCCAGCCCCAAAAGAGATGGGCTGTTCTCCCTGGGTTGAAAAAGTCCAGCTTGGCCACGGATCAAGGTGGAGCTGTTTTATGATTTCCTGTCTGTTGTGTGTTGGTCTGGAAATAACTAGGACTGGACGAGGAGCCCAAAATGTGAGCTACGTAGTTCCCCATAGGATTGCACCCTAACTCAACTGCAGAAAGACTCCTGTAAAGCCCACCAATTCAACAGGCCGACTTTATTGGGGACTCCCAACCGGATCCTGTCCTACTACAGAGAGTGATGCAGTTCTAAGAATCCTGCACCACAACGTCACTTGGAGTCACTGCCCCATCATCTCAGGGCCCGTCTTGAGATTACTTCTGCCCTCCTCCCAATGAAAAAGACCACACCGCCCCTAGTTTTCCCATAACTACTCAGTGACACATCATACGGGGACCTCAGGTACTCAAGTTTATGGCTAAACTAACATGAGCCGGGATAGAACAGATGGCTCATGATGGGAGGGGTAGAAAACAGGGGGTGACATGAATTAGAAGGATGGAATACTGACATTGGAAGGGGCCCCCTAAGGCATCCAACCCCCCTGCAGTCATGGCAGGGTCTGACACAGGGTTGCCCAGTTTTCTCTTGAATGCCTCCAGGGTTGGAGCACTCAACACCTCTTGAAGTAACCGGTTCCACGGTCGTACTGCTCTAACAGTTCGGGTTTTTCCTGACATTCAACCGAAATCTGGCTTCTCTTCACTTGAAGCCATGGTTGCGGGTCCTGGATTCTGGGATGATCAAGAATAGATCCTGCCCCTCCTCTGTTTGACTACCTCTCAAGTATTTGTAAAGTGCTATCCTATCACCCCTCTGTCTTCTTTTCTCAAGGCTAAACATGCCCAATTCTTTCAGCCTTTCCTCCTAAGTCTTGGTTTCCAGCCCCCTGATCATCATCCTTGTCACCCTCCTCTGAACTTGTTCCAATTGGTCAGCATCCTTCTTGAAGTCCGATGTCCAGAACTGGACACAAGTCTCAAGGTGAGGCCCAACAAGTGCTGAACAGAGGGGGACTGGCACCTCGGGGGATTTGGAAACTATACTGTTAATTCAACCTAAAATAGCATTGGCTTTTTTTGTAGCCACTGTTGGCTCATGTTTAGCTTGTGATCTACAACGACTCCAAAAGCCTTCTCTCTTGTAGTATTGCTGAGCCAGGTCTTTCCACCATCTTGTAACTGTGTGTTTGGTTCCTTTTTCTGAGGTGCAGCGCCTTGCACATATCCCTGTTGAATGCCATGCTGTTGTTTTCAGCCTAGTGCTCCTGCCTATCTAGAAGATTTTGAATTTTGTTCCTGTCTTAGCTATTCCACCCAATTTGTGTCATCTGCAAATGTGATTCGCGTTATCTGCACTCCTTGATCCAGGCCATTAATAAAACATATTGGATATACAGCGCAAGAGAACTTGGTCCTTCTGTTGGAGCAGCTTTCCATTTTTACCTGTTTACTAGCAAGATGGCAAACTCCACAGGGGTCTCCTCCATGCAGCAAAGGGAGAAGCTCGGTCGCTGGCACAAAACAGCTTCATTTGGCCTCCCCCCCATGTTCTGGAATTAACAGACCAACAGCAGCTAAGCTACACCTGGTGGCCATGGCCAAGATCCATGCAGGTGGCTTTTATGAGACTACTCATAATACACCCGGCCATGCTCACCTGGCCTGCAGGCCAACCTTGCTGAGCCCTGGAGAAACATAGGTAGTAATGAAGATGGGCACAGCTGGAATCATCCTCACCCTTTATGGTTTGATAGACAACCTAGGGCAGGACCTCTGGATCAGCAACGAGACCCAAGCAGGCGGGACTTTAGCAGAACTTCATTTCATGGAAATTGAAGAAGAAGAAGAACAACAACAACCACCCGAGAAGCTTTGCTTCCTTGGTTCAGGCCACCTGAAAGAGCGACGTGTGCTCTTCTGACACAGGGCCCTGCGTAGCTTGGTTTGGATTCACCAAACGGCAGCCATAACTGTCTGTCTGTAAACAAACCATGGGCTGGCAGTGTCGAGGTGTTTCTGGAGGGGCCGCGGGGGGGGGGGGGAGGGGCGGTGCGGCTTCACTCAGGCTGCTTGGGAACCCACGTCAGTTTCCAACCCCCATCCGCGTCTCTACGCACGAAAGCCTGCCCCTGGCGGAAGGTGTGCGTTTTCACATTGCAGTGCGGGCTCAAGGAGGCCGTGAAGGCCACGTCTTCTCGGGTCGGCAGGAGGTCGCGGGAGGCCACTCCGCCAGGCAGCAAAGAGGGGCTCCTCGGCCTCGGCGCCAAAGGGCGAGGCAAGGCAGGACCCTCTGGAAGATACGGCAGAGGAGCCTCAGGCGCACTGGCAGTGGTGCCCAAGGGGTGCGATGCAGCACATCTGTAAAGAGCGGGTTGCCTATGGCTGGTGCCAAAGTCTGCTGCCACGCCCAGGGGATCCCCCAGGAAAGAGCCCGGCGCAAGGTCCACGGTCAAGGCACTGTAGTTAGCTGAAGCAGGAGACTTCTCGTCAATGGTGTTGACGTCCTTGAGCCCAAGGATGCGTAGGACCCACGAGTCCACCACCGAGGGATGGGGCGGCTCTTCGCAGGTGGAGAAATCAGCCAGGAGGTTCCGCCTGGCCTTTTGCGGGTGGGACACCTCGTGAGGAGGAGGAGGAGGGCTTTCTGGTTTCAGCCGGCGCTTGCCAGATTTGAAAGCTCTCCATCTCTGGTTGTTCTGCAGGAGCAGCTTCTGTTCACGGGAAGAAGCAAAGAGAGATTCAGATCACGAGAGGAGCAAGCGGAGTGGAATTCATGCTTTCCAAGTACAGTGGTGTCTCGCTACACGATGATAATCCGTTCCACTGAAATCGCTGTTTAGCGAAATCATTGTCTAGCGAAAAGCATTTCCCCATTGGAATGCATTGAAACCTGTTTAATGCCTTCCAATGGGGAAGAATTGTCGTTGTCTAGCGAAGATCGGCCATAGGAAAGCCTCTTTGCGAACCGCCGATCAGCTGTTTAAATCGCTGTCTTGCGAAGCTTAGGTCCCAAAACACCTGTTTTGAGAGTGCAAAGGAAGCTGTCAAAATCGTCGTCTAGCGAAAATCAGTTTGCGAAGCAGGGAGCAAACATTGTCCAGCGAAATTCCCCCATAGGAATCACTGTTTTGCGAATCGCTATAGCAATCGCAAAAAGTCAATGTCTAGAGAAAAAACTGTTATGTGGGGTAACTGTCTAGCGAGGCACCACTGTATTTTAGTGTTTTCAGGGCCCCAAAACCTAAATCTATTTTTGTCCCTCTAAGTGTGGCTTTAACTCTTGTGCCGGACCTAGTTTTTGCTTTTGCACCCATCTCATATTTTTCCCCTGTGTTGGGATGCCCGCTGCTTTTTCCATTAGGCTGCATCATCATCATCATCATCATCATCATCATCATCATCATCATCATCATCATCATTATTATTATTATTATTATTATGATGATGATGATGATGATGATGATGATGATGATGATGATGAGTTCCTAGTATTTTATGGCAATCATTTCTTTTTAAATTGTTCTGTAGACTGCCTAGAGAAATTTATCTGTAATAGATTAAATAAATTTAAAAACAAGCACAGGGCCACAGTGGAAAAAAAAGGCATTTCTTTAATTTAGAACAAAATGCATATAAATACGGTGTTCAAGTGGGACACAGATCGGCCAGTTTCAAGAGGAAACAGAGCTCTGAAGCTTTTGATATCAATAAGGTTCTTTGACAGATGCTGTTTGTCGACTCCTGCAGTACTGGGGTCTTTCCTGATTTGGCCCACTGGATTGCAGCTTTCAGAATCCAGCCCCTCGAAGTCCTCACTGTCTTGCCCAAAATACATATCTAGGGCCATATCTAGGGCACTGTGTCTTTCTCCCTTTTGCATCTTATTCCCAGCAGTATAATCTTCGTGCTATGCATGCCTCTACAATCAGATATCCAAAGGAAGGTAGTGTTTGCCTTCCAGTCATAATTCCAATGACAGGCACTCTTCTGCCTTTAATGTGTTTTCATATTTACACCTTTTTTCCTCAAGGAAGGAGCCCTGCTTCTAGATACAGCACCAGCGTCTTGTCTGGGAGGCCCTGACACTTCCTGCAATCCATTCCTCACCTTGGTTTTCTCCTCCAACTGCTGGATCAGAGCAGAATTCAGGAACTGCCTGAGGTGATTGTTCTCCTCCTGCAGCCGGGCCAGTTCCTCCTCCTTCTGCATCAAGGTGTCCTGAAGCTGCAAATCACAGAGGCAATAAAATGAAATGGGCCTGAAAGGTGTCGTCCTAAAACCCAGCATGTTAACACATCCAACCTCCTTACAGTCTTACACTGAAGATTTCTTCGTGGCCATTTGGAATTTGATCCTCGACGGCCTTGTGTTCCAGAAGAGCTGAGAGGGCTGGAAAAATGGCTGTTCTCATCCCACTTTTTACTTTTTCTCTTCTCCTCTAAAACCTTTCAGGATTTAAAAGTGTAACCACAAAAGCACAAAAAATGTGTTCAGAAAGACACATTGAGAGTGCACAGGCTCACTTTTCTCATCTCAATACCTGAGGCATCATTAAATTGTTCTCCTTGCTCAGCTGGGGGATTTAAGAGAAGGGAGAACTTTTTTTCTGTGTGTAGAAAATAAGCAAAACTGCAAAAAGCATTTTCAGACAAATCTTGCTTTTAAGCAAACAGTGCAAGTTGTACAAAGAGGCGTTACACTGTTGTATGAACGTTTAGGGATTAGGAGCATTGAATAGGGTGTTTGCATCTTTTTCAACAATCATCTTGACATCAGGCCTATGTGTGCTTTGATGCTTAAAGAGAAAGGATACTAGTGTTGCTCAAAGACAAAATGAAACAAAATAAAAATAAAATGGGTTCATTAAAAAAAATACCAGTTCTCCTTGACTTACACGCCCAGAAGTGTCCTCACCCAATTGTCTTGTCGAATCAAGAACAAATCAGGAAAAGGCCACATGGCTGTGGAAACCATGTGAATGCAGGAGCAAGCAATACCTTTAACCCACCCTTAAGAATATATCAAACAAAAAACAAATACCGAGCTGTCAATGATAAATCATTTTCTTAATTATATTATCAACGGTCGATTAAAGGTATCACCTACTCCTGCATTTATCTTGTTGAATCAAGACGCCTTAGACAGCTTAGAATGTGGGGTTTAGTCAGCCTTCATTACCTCTGTGCCACAAACTCAGTTTCGCATTAGCGGGAATGGGAATGGCCACCAGCAGGGCCGTCGGAAAGGTAGAAAAGAGAGGGATTCGGGCGCTGGAGTCTGTTTTGCTCTAGTGGCATCTGGTGCCTGCCAGAGCAGGGGCAGGCAAGAATCACTCTGCTGATTCCTGGGGCTCTTCATTGGGGTCGAAGGGGCCCCCAGCTCCATTGGGAGCCCAGCTCCCCAAACCAAAACCCCTCCCATTTTCCCCCACTTGTTCTCTTTAGAAGAAATATTTTGGGAATAACCAGAGTTGGAGATGGGGGTGTCCTCCAGGTCCACGGTTCAGTCAGGTGTGGCCTTCCTACCTTGTGAGGTTGCCAACTCCCACGCCAGGAGAGGCGAGACCATACCTCTTTCCGAAGGTGCTCCAGGCACCCATCTTCAGTCTGATGTGTGGCTCCAGCCCGCTGCTCTTGCTGCGTCAGGCTGCTTTGGCCAGCTGCGACCAGAGAGCTGGCCACCCTCTCCACCCCATGAGAAGACCAGCAGGTTCAGAAGCCAGGTGAGAGCATGAGGGAGAAGGTGGCTCCCGGACAAGAAGAGGGAGTGGGCACCATCCCAGAGGGTGGGAGAACAGCAGGGAGAGAACCAGACACGGCTCAAATAGGAGGATCTCTTCAATGCTGGTAAAAGTTATTCTTTACTGTGGCTCTCCAAACCATCCCATTCCCCCACCCAAGTCATTCACATCTTCGTTGCTCTTAAATTTGCTTAACTAATGCTTTTACCGAATCTTTATAATACAATATTTATTCAACCATTTTTAAATATTCGAATAACGTGCTGTTTTTACCATTCGACATCTTTTCAAATTAGGTAAGCCCCCTTGGGGGAAAAGGCAAAGTATAATAACCAAACAAACAAACGCAGCATGGCCATTGACACCTCCTAAGCTAAGCCAACATTGATGTTTTCAGGCGTTTTTGAAATTCGTACATTAAAAGAGCGAGATCCCTGTGACCAAACTGCACGATGCCTCCTCCCCTCTCCAAAACCCAACTTCTTGGCTCTTGACTTTCTCTTTACCTGTTTGTTTCGGTAAAGCTGCGTCGACAGCTGATCTCCAGGCCCGACATGGCCTTGAAAGGTCTGATCCAAGCGGCAGAGCAGTCCTGCACCGACAAAGACAAGAGAGGAATCAGTGGGAGGGAGAAATAAGGAATGCAGCCAACGCTCACCTTCGTTTCCTGAATAATGCCACCTGGTCGGTAGGCATGGGTGCCCATGGAGGGTTCTGTGGCCCCAGAGGCCTCAGGTAGGTGAGAGAGCCCCATGTAAGGATCTCCGCCTCAAAGTTCAAAAACAACTCAAACTTCTGGGGCAGGAGAGAGTATTTTTCCAGGGGGGCGGAATAACTCTTTATTCAAGTTTACTTATTTATTTGAAACATTTCTATCCCGTCTTTCTCCCACAAAGGACCCCATGGGCAGCAGTAGAAGCGGAACACATCCCAGGGAAGCCTTTTTTCCCTCCCCACTGCTTCCAGTTTTATTCTAGAGCCTTCGTGTGGAGTCACGTCTGGCAAGCTATCCAAGGGAGAACGCCACCTCTGGATTCCGAAGCAATTTTTATTTTATTTTGAAAAAGAACATTTTTACAGGGTAACAACCACCAAACAGAAGGAAAAACAACAAGAAAGTAGCTGTCGTGCTTTGGACACATGGTGAGAAGGCAAGATTTGCTGAAAAGACAATGATTCTAAGAAAAGTTGAAGGCAGAAGCAGAAGAGGGAGACAATATGAGATGGATCGAATCTATAAAGGAAGCCACCGCCTTGGTTTTACAGGTGCTTCAGCAGGGCTGCTGAGGACGAGACATTTTGGAGATCCCTTACTTATTCATGAAATAAATCATGAGCCGTTAACTCAATTCTGACATAGGGTGATGCCTTCTAGGGTTTTCTGAGTGGAGAATATTCAGAAATGGTTTATCATGCCCTTCTTCTCTAGAGGTGCCCAGGGGGAAACATGCAGCCTTCGCAAGGCCAGGCAGGCTGGCCCTTCCTCCAGGAAACACGGTGAGAAATCAAACTGCCAAATGCAGCCAGAGACCTAAAACCCTGAGCTCTCCAGCCAGCTCATCATCTTCGAACGGCAGAGCTGGAAGGGACCCCTAAGGATCATCCAGTCCAGCCCCTGTCAAGGAGGCCCGGGGGGGGGAGGATTTCAGACTCCCAGCCTCTGGCTCCACTACCAAAGGCTGGAACCATGGAGCCATCCAGCAAAGCAATTTAAAGGCACACGACAATAACAGCAGCAGCAGCAACAACAGTAACATTCGTGGTAGCTCATTTCTATCAAGTGTGGGGAGAGGCCGCCCCAACCCAGCCTTTTAAAATATAAGTTCCCTACTCCATCGCCAGTCTCCTGCTTTTCGGTGCCAAGCACCCCTATTCTGAGCTGTTCTTGGCATCTTGGGGGCAAAAGAAATCAGAGAGGCCCGGAGGACTTTTCAGGGCCCACTTCAGAAACAAAAGCCGAGCGCCCTTTCTCTCCAGCAGCCTTGAAGGAGCTGCATTTCACAAGCATTTCATTGGCATTTTTTAATTTATTTTTAAGAAACAAAAAAGGTGCCGGGCAGCAGCATTTGTTCCCAGGAGTGAAAAGGGTTAATGAGCGACCAGAGGCCCTTGGGGATGCCGCGACGTATCCACGAAGGGCTTCTTCTTAGGTAAAACAAGAGGGTTCTCCTCCTCATCCTCTCTTACTATAGGGATCAGGCAGGAGCACAACCTACAGTGGAGCTGGCCCCTGCTCAAGGGGCCAAATCCCCCAACCCTAGAATTCTCCCTAGGTGAGACCAGACCTGATTTATTTTCTGTTCTGGTTGGTTTTTTTAAAGGCATCTCCAGGTCCTGCCAATGGCCGTTCGGGGTCTGGATTCTGTCGGAAGGTGGTGAGCCACCTGGGAGAAGAATAGGGGTTTTTCTTTCCTTTCCCTTTAAAAGTTTCTTGGGGGCTACAGGGGGTGCCCAGAGACTTCAAAAGGGGGGGCACTAGGATCCACATGCAGCCCACTGCGCACGAAGGAGAAGGTGGCTGGAGTCATAGAGTCGTAGAGAGTCATAGAGTTGGAAGAGACCACTGAGGTCATCCAGTCCAACCCCCCGCCACGCGGGAACATCCATCAAAGCACACCCAACAGACGCCCCGCCACGCGGGAACATCCATCAAAGCACGCCCGACAGACGGCCAACCAGCCTCTCCTTAAAAACCTCCAAAGAAGGAGACTCCACCACCCTTCGAGGCAGCCTCTTCCACGGCCGGACAGCTCCGACCATCAAGAAAGAAGGAGACTCCACCACCCTTCGAGGCAGCCTCTTCCATGGCCGGACAGCTCCGATCATCAGGACGTTCCTCCTAATGTTTAGGTGGAATCTCTGGAGGATCTTAGAAGCCTCAGAACTCAAGGGATGTTCACCCCAAAGCAAGGAAGAGGACCTTCTCTGGGGATGGCCACGTACAGAGAGGTTCCTTCTTTTTTTATTTTAGCATCCTCCACCACCCTTCGAGGCAGCCTCTTCCATGGCCGGACAGCTCCGATCATCAGGACGTTCCTCCTAATGTTTAGGTGGAATCTCTGGAGGATCTTAGAAGCCTCAGAACTCAAGGGATGTTCACCCCAAAGCAAGGAAGAGGACCTTCTCTGGGGATGGCCACGTACAGAGAGGTTCCTTCTTTTTTTATTTTAGCATCCTGAGGCCTTTCAAGAGGAAAAGCCAGCTGAGTGAGTGACGTGAGCATGCCAGTGGAGGAGAGAGAGCATCCAGCTTATCAGTCACGAGCAAAGTGGCACCAAATGCGCTTGTCCAGCCTTTCTGGATATTGGAAGAGCCGGGGGGTGGGGGAGAGCATGGCATGCATACACACACACACACAGCAGCCAGCTCAGCCGGCGCTCAATGCCAAGAGGCTACCGGGTCCTGGAGTTATCTCTGAGCGGTAAGGGAGGGAAGCCGGGCACCAGGCTGGCATCCTGCTTGGCTGCCGGGGTTCCCCCTGCGGGCGAGGTGGCTCAGCACCCTTTGGAATTGGGGCCAGGAGAAAAAGAGGTAGGGCCATGCTCAGAGAAATCAGAGGGAGAGAGAAAGGCAGAATGCCAACCGATTCTCACCCTGGAGTCCTGAATAATGCCACCCGGTCGTGCTCAGAGAAATCAGAGGGGGGGGGGAGAAAGGTGGAATGCCAACCGATGCTCACCCTGGAGTCCTGGATAATGCCACCCGGTCTGGAGGCACAGGTGCCCACCCACGGGGTTCTGTGGCCCCAGGAGCCTCGAGGAGGTGAGCTGCCCATGCAAGGATCTCAGCCCTGAAGTTCAAAAACTAGGTTCTGGGACAGGAAAGAGGGTTTTCTTCTGGGGAAGGGGGGGGAGAGTATTCCCCCCCCCCCAGGGAATGTTGGTTGCCCTCTTCATTCAAGTCTATTTATTTCTGTCCCGCTTTTCTCCCGCAAACGACCCAACGGGCAGCCCCAGAAGCAGGACAGGTCCCAGGGAAGAGTCTCCCCACGGTCTGCCCTGGGAGGGACGTCCAGGCTCCCCGGGCATCGGGCACCCCACGGGAGGGGGGGACGGGGACCGGGCGGGTCGGTCACTGATGCCACCACCACCCCCGAAATCCTAGGCGGGTGGGAGCAGGAGCCCCGACGGGGCGGGCATTTCCCGCAGAAGCCTTCCTTCCTTCGGCCGGGCGCGGTTGACGGCGGAGAGGGCGCCAGACCGGGCGCACCGCTCTCTTCCGAGGGCCCGGCCCGGGGATGATGCCTCGACGG